GGTAGATCGTGAGCCATGGCCAGCAATTGCTGTCTGTATTTTCGGGGTACTATGAGCTGGCGCTGAGGCTCCCAGGTCTCGGCATGGTTCTTCGGCACCCACAACCGATAGAGAAGCCCCTTATCCCAGACCACCTGTTCCCTCTTGTCTGGAGTGAACTCAGTCTCTTGCTCCTGAGCCATCTGCCGGAGTCCCTCCAAGCTGGGGTCCTCCCGAACCTCCCACTTGAAGTCCTCCTGCCCAGCTAGGCAATCAGCAGGGAGTGCAGGTGCTCCTGCAGGGAGTGCACACTCACCCTCCAGGACTTCCTGGGTCTCCTCCCTGATAGTCTCACCTCCCTCTTCCACTGACGGAATACACCCTCCCCGGGACTGTCACTTAACCCACCCTCGGTGTCGCTAGTTCCTTCCGGGACCAGGGTGCAGTCGCCTTCTTCAGGGGTCCCTTCCCCTGTGGCCAATGGTGTGGCTTTCTCCTGGGGATTTCCTAACCCCACTTCTTTAGCCTTCCTGCTCTGCAGGCGAGTCACCACATGAACAGTGCAGGGCTTTGGCTCTTGGGTCTGTTACCACCTCCAGAGCTGGGATTCCTGCCCCATAAGATCCCATCCCACCCGGATGGGGATTGGATCCCCTTCCAGTACCCCCATTTCCAGGTACGCTGCACAGTCGTTCCACACGACAGGTGCACGGGCTACCGGTACCGTCAGAGGTGGGGGCCCCACCCCGTGAATAGGACGAATGAGCCAGAAGCAGAAGTGGCCTCGACCACAGGTGGGGGTGGCCAAGCAGGGCCGGATGTGCTACCATGGCAATGCCATTGGGTCCAGCAGCCACAGCCCTGCCCTCCCCAGGAAGGCCCCCTAGCAGAGGAGGTCTAGGGGGCCTAGAGCATCCAAGAGGCCATGTGAAGTAAGCCCAGACCTGGCCCAGCAGCCCCTGATGGCCCCAGGCCCAGAAATAACCTGGGTCACCAGGGCATGAGCTACAATGACAGGGTCTCCTGGGCCGTGTGTTGTTCTCTGGGGCCCATTACTAAACAGTAGGGAGGGGAAAGGACCCTTCCAAATGTAGGATCTGCCCCATCAATGCTCACTGGTGACTGGACACAGAGACCCGTCCACCTGTAGATGCCTCCCCAACACAGACCCCTCTGTGGCGGGCCAGTAGGGGGCACTGCTGTGTTGATCCGCCCACCTCCCTGTGCCCGCCCTCCTTCCTGGCTCCGAATGCCTCCCTGGGGTGCCTCCCGTCCGGCCGACCCCTTCCCTGGAGAACACCCGCTAGCCTGGGGTTCCCGCTGCCACCATCCAAGGCTCTGGACTCACTTCTGGCTCTGCGCACCTTGGAGAACACAGGCCTAATCGTCCAATGGGTACTAGACACAGTATCAGTACTTGGGGCACTTGCCCATGTCAGGGGGCTATTAGGGAAGCCTCCCTTAGTCCACAGACCTAAGAGGCCTCCTGGGCATAATTTAGACCCACCCCTCAATAAGTCTCCACACCGGTCACAAGGAGAACTTTATTGATTACAGGAGGTAGGGTGAAAACAGGGTAAAATGTAGAGCAATGTCAGAGGAATATCAGAGGGATCCCATAGAGCATACCAGGGTGGCTGAGGTAGCCTTTTGATCATGCATCTGAGTTACTGTAAGCTAAATATCTAGTTGAATCTCGAGTAGCTTACTCACTCGCATCGTCCAGAGGTGGTTGGAGTTTTCCTCTGGAGGCATTTCCTCTTTGAGCATGCGGTTATGAGGAAAGATCCTGTTTCAGATGGTGAAGCTCCTTTCCCAGTTTCA